GAGCCCCGCTCCTGCCTTGGAGGGGGAAGTGAGAAACTGCTGTGGAAATTCAAAGATGGGCAACCCCCCCCTCCCCCCCCCCAAAAAAAAAAAAACAACCCGCACCAAAAACCCCCAAAAAAACCTCCTACCTCCAACGTGGGGGCTCCGCTGGGTCCTAATGCCACACCTGAGCCGGGCCCGTTCCTCCTCCCAAATTACTGCCTGGCGGGGAATGGGGGGGGGCGGGGAATAATTAATAATAATTCAAATTATGCATGGAGGTGGAGAAAAATGCAGTGGTCCTCAGGGCTAGGGTTTAGTTTTCTTTCTTCTTCTTTTCTTCTTCTTTTCTTCTTTTTCTTCTTTTTTATTCTTTCCTTCTTCTTTCTTTTTTCCTTCTTTTTTTCCTTTTCTTTTTTCCCTTCTTCTTCTTTCCCTTCTTTTTTAATTTTTTCCTTTTTTTCTTTTTTTCCTTTTTCCTTCTTTTTTCTTTCTTCCCTTTTCCTTTTTTCTTTTTTCTTCCTTTTTTCTTCCTTTTTCTTCTTTTTTTTTCTTTTTCCTTTTTTCCCTTTTTCTTTTTTCCTTCTTTTTTCTTTTTCCTTTCTTCCTTGTCTTTCTTTTTTCCTTCTTTTTCCTTTTTTCCTTCTTTTTCTTTTTTTTCTTATTTTTTCTTTTTCTTCTTTTTCCTTTTTTCCTTCTTTTTCTTTTTTTTTTCTTCTTTTTTCTTTTTCTTCTTTTTCCTTTTTTCTTGGCAAGTTCTGAGCAACCCGGTGTAATTTTCATTCCTATTAATGATGATGCTATCCAACTATTTTGTGTATGGACCATACAACAGCACTTCGCTCTTTTGTACATCTTAGGAAGAAGCAACAAAGCAAAACACTGTGAAAGAGAGACTTTCATGAGTCGAAAGCAAATTTATGTGACCAATTCCCAGAGGCTGGTTGCCTAACCTTCAGTATGAGCCTTCAATAACTTTCTCTAAAAAAATTTGGGATCCTGCCATCCCAACCACCCCTCCTGACTCCAAACTCGGCATCAACCTCTGCCCCCTGGAGCAGCGCGGATGCCTCAATCCCACAGCAGATTTAAGGCTTTATCCCAGGATGGAGGAAAAAAAGATATAAAATTCCCCCCTTTTTTTCCCCCATCCACCCACGGTGAGGATGCCGGAGCGGATCCGCAGTATCGCTCGGAGGAACCGGCGCTGCTGACCGTGGGGCCCTCTTTCCCCCCAGCTCGCTGGCCGGCTTTCCGGAGGATGCGGGATGCCGGCTGCATCCCAGCGAGACTGGGGATGGTCCCCCAAACTCCCCCCCCCGAGCCCGGCGGTGCCACCGAACCTGGCGCTGGGGGATAAAAACCCACCAATTTTCGGCATCTTCGAAACCAACAACGGAGAGACCGGAGGATGCTCCGGGGCCGGGATGGAGGGAGAAGCTCTCCGGAGAGGGTCAGCGATGATGCACGTGGGATGGGAATGAGCAACGGGGATTTGTTTTTTCCCCACCCGTGGGGCAGTATTGCACCAAACCCATAAGCAGTGGGGCTGAGGTATGGGGGGGGGTTCCGCAGCCAAGAGCGGGGGTCCGACTGCTGGAAAAAGGAGGAGAAAAACCAGTTTGGGGCTCGGAGGAGAAGCAGAGGGGGGGTTTAAGGTGCTGCCGTCTCCCTGTGAAGCCTGGGTTTCGTCTGGAGGATGGGTAAAACCATCCCAAACGACTCCCAACACATCATTAGATGCTCCGGTAAAACTTCTGCCTGCCCCAAAATCCAGCACCGACCTTGCCCCCAGCCCTGTTAATCTCTAGCCCAGGGCAGGACCCGCCTTGTTAATAATTAAATGGCGTTTGCTAAAAAAAACCAAAACCACCCAACCCAACAAATCCCTCCGGGAGGCCGAGAACACCCCGCAAAAAGCAGCCAAGCAAAAAACACCCCCCGTGGTGGGAGGGAAACCGAGGGGCGAACGGGATCCTTCACACCCGGATCCCTTTTTGTTTATCAGATTGCCGAGCTCGGGTGAAAAGCTGAGGGGTGGGTGTGTGTTTTGGGGTTTTTTTTTGGTTTTTCTTGTTTTTTTTTAAGCTCAGGAAGCCTGGTTTAATAACTCCAGCCTTGGCTAGGATTTCAGGAAACCTCTTACCTCTGCTTGTGCCTCATTTCCTGATCTAATCCCCAACTCCCGGAGGGCAGAGAGGCGCCGCCGGCGTTCCGAGGGGGTTTAGACTTTCCACACAGGCCAATTCCCTGCGAGAACCAACCTTCCCATCCAAAAAACGGGGCTCGGAGGCGGCCAAAAAATAATATAATCCAACCCCCCTCTCGGAGAGGGCGATGGCGACAGCACATCCCCCTCCCCGGGATGACCTCTTCTCCTTTGGGGACGCGGTATCTCCCACCCACCGGCTTTTCCTCCGTCGAAGGAGGGAGGTTTTGCCGTCTTGGCGAGGAGTCCTGGGTTTTTCCAGCAATTATTATTTTCTAGGAAATTCCAGCTGGGAACAGGCTCACGGGTTATCTACCCAGTTTAAGCCGCTGAAAATCCCAGCGGTGCCATCCCCGGGTTGGCTCTCTGCTTTCGGACATCAAGGAGAGCATCTTCCAGCCCAGACGGAGAATGAGGGTCACCCTAAAACCTCTTTGACCTCCTCCCCAACTCCGTTTGATGCTCACCCGCGCCGGCGATGCCATCCCGCCCCCGGCACTCCACCCGCGCCAGGCAGCACGAGCAAACGGCGGCGAAAATAAGTGTTAATTTATTAAGACAACGCTCACGACAGCACCATACGAAAACCCAAAGTGGTACGTCACTCTCCCGACCGCACTTCACACCTCGATGCGCTGGAGTGGAGTTAAAAAATAGAGAGATTCGGGGGTTTGTGGGTTTGTTGGTGTTTTGTTTTGTTTTTTTTTTTTTTAATGCTACAAAGGTCCCGTCCGAAAGCAGAAATGCTCTGCAGGAGCATCGCAAGCGGAGAGGGAGCCCGCGGCTGGTCCCCCGGGCGTCGGGGATTGAGCAGCATCCTTGGCAAGCCGGGGACGGGGCGGTTTGTAAACAGTTCCTACACATCTAGGGCGGCCGCGGGGGAAGGCGGAGGGGTTATTTCGTTCACAGTGAGCGGAGACGCGAGGTTTTGGTGGGTGCCCTCGCCACGAGATGATCAGGAACCCTCTTCTTGGTGGTTTCCACCAGCCAGGAGAGGAAAAAGGGAGGCGACGTCCCCCCGCGAAACGGTACTGCGCGGGGAGAGGGGTCCGAGGCCAGCACGGGAGCGGGAGAAGTCCTGCAGGAAGAGCTGAGCTTGGATCGTTTCTCCTCTTCTTCTGGACCTTCTTCTCCCCTTCTTCTGGATCTCCTCCCCTTCTTCTGGACCTTCTCCCCCAGTTCACTCCTCCAGCATCTCCTCCTCTGGGCTGCGGGATGGGCACGGGTGGGATTCACAGCTGTGACGCTTGAGGGTCTCCCAGCGGGGAGGACGAGCCAACGCCGCCCACCGCGTCCCTTGATTTCCCAGAGATAAATAAATAAACGAAGGGTCGCCAAGGGCCGGCAGGCAGGAGGGAAACCCGAGCGCGCGCTATCTCACGGCGATGGACATCTTGG